CTAAAGATACCTATTCTGTCCCAGGACTGAATCCAGGAAATTGAGGAAAGCATAATGGAGAGAGTTAGGCACAATTCATGAAGTACAGGGAGCCCCTGCCCTGGGTTTGAGCCTAAAGAAAACAGCACTGAAAATGCCTGCCGCAGGAATCCGGGCGGCCTCTTCCCCTGGGGAGGCTTCACAGCAAAGCTGCTCTGTTGTTGCTGTTCCATTTTTAATGTAGCTGTTGCCAGCAAGTACAGTGTACAGTCCCAGACCACAAGGCAAATGGCTTTAACCGCCATAGGTCTGTCTCAGTCACTTTCTTATAACTGGGACAAAATACCTGGTATCCGCAAGTTAATGGGAGAAAGGTTTATTTCAACACACAGTGTGTAGAGGTTTCAGTCCATAGTCGGCTGCTCCAAGGCAGGATGGCTTGGCAGAGGAGCATTGTAGAGCAAAAACAGTTCTTAGCAGGGTAGGCAGGACGCCACACACAAAATCAAGGAAGAGAGACGAATATGCATATATACATGGTATCCCTAGAAAAGATGTGTATAATGATCCACTTCTTCCCACCAGGTTTTACCTCCCAACATCACAACCAGCTGTAAACCCATCAGTGGACTAATCCAGGGTCACACAGCCATGGTGCAGTGTCACACACCCAGGGACAGGTCACCTCCCTAAAGCCCCTTGTCCATGAGCAATCGGACTTAGGGGGGTACTTCTAGCTATAGCATAACAAGGTCCAGGATCTGTTACATTTGACTTTTCTACCACCAACTTCAGCACCACTCACTGCCCCACCCTCATGCTTAGCCTGGGGCAGTGATCATCCAGAAAAGATGAGAAATGGAAAGGAGAGGCCAGGTGTGGTGGTGCACAACTGTCATTCCAGCACTAGGAGGCTGAGGAAGGAGAGTCACTGTGAGTTTGAGCCCAGCTTGAACTACACAGCAAGACTCTCAAAGAAAAAAGGTTGCTTTTCCTCTCATGCTGTCTTTGTTGAGACTAAGTTATGAAGGAGACAAATGAATTCTCCAGTGTGCATTAGATTAGGGATTATTCTGCTTCCCAGTTTCTGTGATAAGATCATCTGAGAACTATTTCCCCCTTTCCTTTTCTCAACTGCAACTCAGATATACTGATATTATTCATGCTTCCTGAAGCATCACCCCAAGTTGTAGAGCTAACTGGACCATTAGACGCAGGGAGCTCACTGTGTAACCTTAGGATTAACAGCAATGAACACACTGGAAAATTCCTGGGTTAGTGCCGCTGCAAAGCACACTCCTGGTGGTATCTCAGAGATAGCAAGAGGCACGTCCAGAGCCCTAGGAAGCCTGTTTGGCTTCTCTGTAGCTTGAACAGGGTCGACTCAAATTTCAGGCTCTTGTCAGAATCATCAACTGATCCTGCAGGGCAAGTATGGGGACCCTGAACCCCCTAGAAATCCTAGAAGTCCCAGCAAAGGCAGCTCCACAGACTAAATTCTCTCAGAGTCCAGCCTCCTCCCCCTCCTCTTCTTCTCCCTCTTCTGTTTTGACAATGCCTATTCTCCCAGCTATGATGGGCGCTCTAAGGTTCTAGGTTTCTAGCGCTTCTCAATGCACGCACAGTGATTGTGTGGGTTCAGGTGTGCAGTCTGGGGTCCCCACTGCTGAGCTCATCTGAGGGGCAAGGCAGGCCGGAGGTCTCTCCTGAGCTCATCTGTGCGTGGCCACTCCATCCCTGCATCATGGAGGCAGCTCAGCATTGTAGGTGGCTCGGATTGCTGACCACATTGCCCCGTCCACTGTGACCGCACAACAGCACCTCTCAGGCTGGCAGCCTCTGCCCAGACTCAGCCCAGCACTTTGCGGGGCTCACCTGACCAGGCTGAGCCCACCGAGGGTCATTTTCTCTTCTGAAAGTGAGCTGGTGACCTTAGTTCCAAAACTCTTGGCAGGGGCCACATTGCTCCCCGGGAGCCAGTGCGGGGGCGAGAGGAGAGGAGACCACTAACTCTGCCTGCCCCAGGGCTAAGGGGTTGCTGCTTATGTGGGCCGTGTGCAGCACAGCATTTCATGAGTGAAACCTAATAAAGGGCCTCACAGGCAGAGGTCTCTGTGGACCCTATTTTCCCACCTGCCTGGACTCAGAAGGTACAGTTGTCTATCGCCCTAGAAACAGAGCACATTATTGCTCTTTACTTTGAGCCCCCATAGAAGGCATCAACAACAAATTCCAAAAGCCCCAATGTCATTTTATTTGTGGTGCATTGATGAATTAATTCAAGTTAAACTTGCAACTAAAAAAAAAAAAAGACCAGGGTAGCATGCATGTCAGGAGTCTGTCGATAACAAGGCGTAAAATGTAGGGATCCATGCAATTCTTTTTTAAGAACATACCTCAGAATCCATGCTTTAGACAGTGACATTTTCCAGAAAGAATTGTCTTGTTTTTACCCATGCTCTGAATATAAAAAGCACACTTCAAATGCCCCATTCATGCAAAGGCCCTTGGCATCGTGCAGGCCAGAAAAGGCGGCATTGTGCCGCTGGGGTCTACTGGCTCCAATGGCCACCGCCGTTGCTGGCTGGGAGAGGAGACACCTCAGCGCTGCACAGTAGCAGTCCGCAAATTAAGGCAAGTGGAGGGAAAGGCATTAGCATAAGAAAAGGGAGCCTCAGATGCTTGGTGCTGAGAGCTGGGAGTTACCAAGGAAGCCCGCACCCAACCCGGCATTCTCGGGATGCCCTGTGCTGGGAGCATCTCTGCAGGGCTGGGCAGGGTCCCTCCTACTGAGGGGAGGGGACAAGCTTGGGAATGCTCACTGCAGTGATAAAAGCGAGAGCACTGCTCAGGAATCAAGGGTCAGAAGATTTCCTAAGTCTGTCAGGACTAAGTGAGGAGGCTGGAGATCGGTGCAAATCGAAAGCAACAATTTAAATTTTTGACTAGAAGGAGCCCCATGTCTGGAATTAATTTAACCCACATTTCACAGATGTTACCCATTTCAGAAGTTGTGTCAGCCACAGTATCTGAATGTGGTCAGCAGGTGCTTCCCCTCTGAAATGCCTGGACTTACTTAAATATTGCTTTGTAGTAAATAGGCCACTGGGAACTGTAATTATTTTTTGTCAGTGGAAAATATTCAAAATAAGTATAAAAGGTTCTTCTTGGTTTTCTCCAAAGAATACGAATCAGTTGTTATCTGTGTCTGTGAAGATGTTGAATCAGTTTTTTAGTTTTTAATATTTCTTGTGGGGATGGGTGTTCTGCAGAGGGGTAGTTTTTATGTCAGTCTTTTCCTTCCTCTTATGAATGACTGCCCAGTTTAAAAAAAGATTTTTAAATTTTGAATTATATTAGGATTAACACTACAGTGAGCCTGGCTGTCCAAATCAAGTCATGGTGGACTTCCTCGATAAATCAAGATAAGGATGGGCATCTTATGACAGATAGTATAACTTATGATATGATACACTGATATCTATCACAGAAATGGAAAAGAACATGTGTTCTGTTTCTGAGACATATTTTCCCATTAAGAAGATGTAATTTGTGCTGCCTCCTCCTCCTCTTCTGGGAGACAGTATGCTGACACCATGTAGTTCAAGGTGAACCTGAACTCACTATGTAGCCCAGGCTGGTCTCAAACTTGCAGCAATCCGCCTGCCTCGGCCACCTGAATGCTGAGGTTACAGGTGTGCACCACAGCACCTGGCTCAGAAGATGTAATTTGTGTTTATTTGAAAACTGCAATGGCATAAGAGTGAAGGCAGTCATCCACAGCTTGGCACATTTGTCTAGACGCTGATAAGAAAAATTACACGGTGCCTCAGTTCACAAATGCTTTTATCTGCAAACAGTATGGTTTGAAAACAGAAGCATTTGGCAAAATTTTGTTTCTGTTTGCAAACTCTGTGACAGGTGACAAACACAACCCTGCTCATGCTTCCTATACAAACACAAACTTTTCCAAAATCAGAACAAATCAAGTGTGTGAACCGGGTCACCCCTGTATTTATAAAGTAGTGGGTAAGGCCAATTTTTGTGGAGTCATATGACAGGAATCAACTGGGAAACAAAGCTATCCTGTAATTTTCCGGTACATGCAGATTACTTTCAAATGTTCTGTTGGGTAAAGGGGCAACGCTGTACTAAGATGTTACCCTTCCACTGTTCATTTTCTGTGTGTCTCTGGAGTCAACTTTCCAGCTCTTCCTCCTTGAGAACGTGACATGAGGAAGTCGGTCTGTTTTCTCAGATACAAACAACTCCGAAGCAGCCAATAAAGAGTCATTCTAAACAGAGACCTGAAGGAACAGAAGGGAGAGGGAGCGGAAGGAGGCTAGGACAGCAGCCTTGGATGCTGACGCTGTCATGAAAGCCCTCTGCGCCCTTCCCAGATGCTGGGAACTTGGCCTCCCGTCTGAGCCGGAGTAAGAAGTGGTCGGTGGTCACCCATGTGGTGGTGCACAGTGACCTGTGTCACAGTTTTTCAGCCCCAGGTGGCAGACCTGAGCCCTCTCAGTGTGAATGCGATGCTCTCAGGTCCCTACCTGTCCCCCAGGAGGTGAACTGGTAGTGGGGTGGCAGTGCAGAGTCAGGAGTGGGGACTGCTTCACTGTGGGAACCAGCAGAGCTTCCCCTGGCTCAGGGGGTCTGCACAGGGACAGGGTCCCTGCTGTTGGCTGTGTTTCCTGCCCTGCAAGGCGAAGGGCAGGTGGAAGACTGGCAGGGTGTGGGTACAGACCCCAGGGCGGAAGGCTCAGGGATCCAGGGTCACCAGGATGGACTGTGGTCGCGGCCTCCCTGTGGCCTGGAACTCACCCCCCACACTCTGGCCCCAAGAGCAGCTGCGGTGACTTCACTTCCAGTACCTTCTCTTCAGTCCAGAAAGTGAGAGGCCATTGCCCTCCCTGGACTGGGCGTTTCCTGCTTGCTTCCTTTTGGGCAGGAAGAACACACCTGAGCTCTGTTGGTGGCATTGCCCTGAATGATGGTGCCTTCCATTTCTTCCTTTGCAGTACGGAGAATTCAGCCTTGATGCCATTGATAAATGTTCCCACAGATATCAAAACCCATGGTGAGTACATGTAAAGACGTTTTTCACTAACTCCCTACCTAAAGTAGTAACAGAGCTACTTTTTCTTAAGCTTTTTGCACTGTACTCCACTTTGACTCATACGGATTTAGGGTCAGTCACAAGTTTTATTGCTGATAAACACGATGAATTTTCATTATCTGCTGAGGGGAGGAAGGAAGTCAAGTGAACAGGGTCAGAGACTTAGAGGACAGAGAAGACAGGAGAGGCGAACTGGCCGTGTGGAGCGCGGTCACTGTGCAGAATACATAAGGCTAAACGGTAAAAACTGGGGGGAAATAGAATGGCAGGTGCATGAGCAGATTAGCTTTCACTTTATGACACTTTCTGTGGGAAATGCTATTTTTTGTTTAAAAGGAAAGGCTTGTTCACGCTGTTGGCCTGGAAACCGTGATGGGGAAGCTCAGTTAGAAAGTCACTGGACCACGTCGCCCAGTGGTGCTGTCCTAACATAGCTGCTACTCTGAGTTAGACGCTTTGCACTCAGCGCTTGTGAAACGCAGGAAAAGAGCAAAATCTAGGCTTGTCATCCGGATGAGCGGTGGCTTAGGGGGCTGGAAGGGACCATGCGTGGTCCCTGTGGCCGTGGGTTTGTGGAGAGGAGGACTCTTGGGGCTCACTTCACCTTGTTTTTAGTTTTAGTAGCATGTACAACATTACTGAATTCCAGTCTCTCTGCTAAAACCACAGCAAAATAAACTGCATGAGATAGAAACAGGACTTCCAGACTCCTGTCAAAAGCCTGTCGGTCCTGCTGCAGGAGAGTAAAAGACCTCACTGGGCAACTGCTTTCACTTATTGGGAGTCTCATACTTACAGCTGTCAGAGGTTTTATTGCATGAAAAGTGTATGTTCGTATTAAAACGTAATTCATTTGTTTAAGTAATATTGCTGGCCTACTCTGCAAATATCCTATCAAGTATTTCTACACAAAGAAAAGCATCAGAAGCCCTTGGAAGTCAAGGAAATCTAACAAGTGTTATGATGAAAGTATGAAGATTTTCTATATTTATTTCAACATTAAAAAACTTGTTGGAAAAGAGAAATGTTGAGGTTTCTAGCATTTTCCCTGGATGGAGAAATACTGGTTATATTATTCCTGGAGACTAAGCTATAGATTTATCAGAACATGAGGATACAATATGTTTATGAAGAAAGTCTTTGTAGTACTGGAATTGCAGCTGGGAAATGACATCAATAAAGAAGAAAATTAGGGCTGGGGTTATAGCTCAGAGGCCCAAGTGCCTGCCAGGCAAGCACAGGGGCCTGAGATTGATTCCTAATACCAAAAACAAACAAAAAACCAGTCAATTTGTAACGTTGGACACTGCATTAGTCAGTCAGCTTTCTGTTACTGTAACAAATGCCTGTGGGAACTGGCTTCTAAAGAGGAAAGGTTTGCTGAGCCGTTCCAGTTGGTCAGTGGGTAAGGCAGAGCAAAACCCTGCTTGGCCCCGGGACAGGAGAGGGAGGAAGAAAAGGCTGGGACCACTCTGTCCCCTTCAGAGTGAGCCCTGATGACCAGCAGATCTCCCTTGCGGGTCCACACTTTCTGGGGCGTGCTGGGGATCGAACGCTTTGGCCATGCAGTGTGCCACAGACCCCACCTCAGCTCCTCCTGCAGGGCTCTGCCCCCTCCCAGCAGTGCCACAGCTAGGGACCCTGCCTCTAAGCCTGGGCCTTTGGGGGTGTTTATCCAAACCTTACCAACGCTGATTCACAGTGAGACAGCAGCTAGAACAGGACAGCCGGAGAGTGTCACAATGCTTCAGATGTCACCACTGCCCAGGGCAGTTTCTAACCATCACGTACCAGCATCCCAATGGTGTCCCCCTCCTGAGATCCCAACGATGTGTCCCTTAGAAGCCCTCTTCCCTGGCTTAGGCTGGGCCACCACCTCCAGGAATCTGCACTTCTCTCTCTCTGGGCAAGGTGGGTGCTCAGCCTCCCAGCCGGCTGCATTTACTCCTCCGGATTGGCCCCTTCTGCAGAAGACACTGTCGCAGTGGTGACCAAGCCAGGCTTGGCATGTGCCCTCCTTGGAACTCACTTGTTGGGGAGGAGAGAGACACTAAAACAGCCAAATGGCTTTAAACATGTACATTCCATGCACCTTGATTTCAGTGGTGCTGGGGATTGAGCATGCTTTTTAATTTTTAAGATTATAAACATAACTCATGCCACAGCAAGGAACCCAACAAGACACAGGTGTATTAGGTTCACAGCTTAGCCCGGTCTACCCAGCTCATCATAACACAGTTCATGGTAAAGCAGCTCACCACTGAAAGTGCTGGTGGGATGCAGAGGGAAAGCTTTCCTGCCGCCAGGCAGACAGCAGGCAACAGAGAAGGCTCCCAGCAAAGGGAGGGCCCGACACACCCTGGATTAAGCTCCACAGGGTGAAGCCGGCCCGCTCTGCAGTGCTTACCTCTCGGGGCCTCATCTCCTCTCACATGTGAGGCTGACGGTTTGCACTGGTACCACGCTGGCACGCAAACTGAGTAGAAGACTGTTCCTGGCACAGAGAATGACCGAGCCAGACCTCCAGGAGGCAATGGGCAGTGGAATTAGGAATGGCCAGGTCAGGGCAGGTGGGGCCATCAGATGACAGATAGACCACGTGGACCCTCATGGGCCAGCTAAACTGGCTTGGGTTTTAATCTAGGAATGAGAGTTTATCTTTTTTTTTGTTTGTCTCTTTTTTTTTTTTACTGGTACTGGGGATCGAACTCATGACTGCCTGCTTGCAAGGCAGGTGCTTATACCACTGAGCTAAATCCCCAGCCCCAGGAATGGGAGTTTAAAGGAGGAGGCAGCTGTGATCCCAACTCCCATGTCCCGATGCCAGTGGTGTCTTCGAGCAGCAAGGAGCTTTCACAGGAAGCTAGGCTTAACGAATGGAGACTGAGGAGATGACCGTGCGCCACAGCCACGGGAAAATAAGCAAGCACCCTTGTATGTGCCAGTTGAACAAGGGAGGTGCAGGATTTTCCCTCCATGCTGCAGATGAAGAAGCCGGATTTGGAGGTCGTCATGCAGCCAGGGTCACTCAGCTGGTGCAGTCTGATGCAGTCTGATCCCACCAACCTGGGCAAAGACCTGGCTCAGACATCTTTCCAAGCACCCGAGGAGGAGCCGGGGTGCCCGCCCAGGACCGAGCGAGCCTCACACAACACCGGGGGCACGAGGCATGGGAGACTCCGAGGGAGGAAATGGTATGGAAGCGGGCCCTTGAGACAGCAAAGGGTGAGAGCTTTTCAAGAGGTGCGCTCAACACAGGGAGCAGAGGAGTTGGGGGACGAAGCAGGGGAGCACATGGCTGCGCTCAGGAGCTAGGGCAGCCTAGTCCGAGCCCTTCGGGGTGCTGACCGGAGCCGCTGTGCGGTGCTGAATGGTGCTTGCTTGTGACGTGTGGCAGCCGGGGCCCACTTTGCTGCTGTTTTATTCTGTGTAAGACGAGGGCTGACGAGGGCTGACTTTATTACCCTGCAGACTTGAACTCCTGGGCTCACTCGAGTATCTGGGACTGCGAGGTGGGCTGTGTGCCCAGCTCATGAACCAATTAACTTGTTCTTTTTGCAGTGCTGGGGGTCGCTGAGGCCTCCCTGCTCCCTCCACCCACACAGGACTGGTTTTGTGCATTTCCCTGGGACCTGGAACACTTCTTGTTCCACAATAGCAGCAACATAATGTACGGACAGCTACAGGTCCTCGGGTAGCTATGGCCTCTCCGTGTGCTAATTAGTCAGTTTACTATCACTCTGAATCTTCATTTTAAACAAGCCACGCTTCCACTCAAACATGGAGCCTCAACTTTTCCCAGCGGGTTAAAGCCAGAACACAACAGTGCTGTGAGCCCCAAAGGCTCGGGGCACTGGAGGCATGGACCCCAGCGATCAGATCACGTGGTCTCCCCCTTCATCAAGTGGGTTTGCCCTGGTGAGGTCCTAGCTCGGTGGCTTGGGAAGGATGCGCTTGGGAGGGCAGCACCTGTGGAGCCGCGATCTGCAGCTCCCCCTGCCACCACACACCGCCCTGCCTCAGGCTACAGCACAGAAGCAGCCAGCTAGGAGTCCAAACAAACCTGCCTGCCTGGAAGTGCAGCTGTTGAGGGCACGCACTGTGTCCCAGTGATAAAAGCCAACTGACATCCGGAGAAATCTCCTAAGCTCGCTTAGGGTTTTGGTTACTGAAAATTAGCTGCTTTTTCTAAACTTCTTTCTCTGTTTACCACATTCCTGGGTAAGCAGTGGCTTTCCTGGGCTGAGCTCAGTTGGTGTCCGCGCTTTCTGTATTAACTGTTGCTGAAGATAGCTGTACATCGACTGTCTGGATATGAAATATCAATATAACCTCATGGTTTTAATCATTTCCATGACCTCTCATCTAGGACCAAACAAGTATCATCCTGGAGGACTGGGACTCAGGGCTCAGGTGAGAGGGAACAGCATTTCCTGTGGCTCCACTGAGCAGGGGAGAAGAGTTGCCCCCCGCTGCTCACATCTGTGTCTCCTCCTCCTCTGTGCTGCCCTGTGAGGGGATAGGCCATGTGCCAGCAACCAAGGTGGCAGGGGAGGCCAGTGTCTGTGCTTAGCCCACATCCAGGGCACCTGTGTGCAGCAGCCCTCACCCCACCTCTGCAGCAAAGGATGACCTGGGGGAGTACAGCGAGGGCTGGCGTGGTCCCTGGTGCTAGGGTCTATGTTTAGATCCCCAACCCCTCAAACAGATGCACGGCAAAGGCCCAAAGGAATGAGACATGCAGCATGGTCTTTAAGGCTCCAGGAGGACTAAAATCCTCTACAGAGCTCCTAACTCTGCTAGCTGGCCAGCCGACTGACCCTGAGTGGCCCATATTTAATCAGAACAAGCAGAGTTGAGTGAACAATGCAGGAAACCTGAACAGGATTTTGGGAGGGGTTCAAGGACCCCTCAGAGCAACAGATGATGCTAATTAAGGAAACTGAATCTCCAGGTGGCTTCAGCTGTGTCCTGTCCTGCCCCCTGAGGTGTCTCATTCTCAGTTCAGCCATGCCTGGGCCACGCCACAGCCCTGCATGTGTATTCAGCTTCAATGGCTCCAGCACTCCAGGAGATCCCTCATAGGCACAGTGACACCAGCGATGCACAGTGGTCCCTTGAGGACAGAGGCCCTGCTTCTCATGCCGCCCCAGGAGAAGGTGACAGGAAGAGACGAAGCACAGAACCTGCTGGTGCTTCTTGTGCACTGCCCAGAAACACCTGCAGGTCACCAGCAGCTCCACTGGACTTCAGGAGCGGAAGGGAAGAGATCGGAGACGCCCAGAGAGAAAGCCCCAGTCCGGGACTCGGAACTCAAGTGACTTCCCAAATGGAGGTGGGCACAGGAGGCAGCAGGCTGACTCACTGGGACTTACACAGTTCTCCTTCCCCTTGGAGCAAAGCATGGGATCCAGAAAGACAGGCATTTTACCCGATTAGAACTGTTCTCAGACACAGAATTCAGGAGCTGTGGGCCGAGCGGCAAGCGGACAAAATCTGATTTCCAGGCACGAATGGCATGGGCCTCAGAGGGCTGTCTCAATCCAGGGATTCACTGGCTTCTCACCCAGAGGGGCCTGCCAGGTCCCACAGGCAGGAACTCAGAGGGCCACAAACCTTTGACACGGACTGAGACTCTTACATGTGTTTTCCCAAAGTACCGATAGGAGAAAAGTGGTTTTACAAAGGAGACTCCCTCCGGGCAGCTACCACCTCAGCCTTGTGCCCTAAGGGAGACTCCTCAAGTTCTGAGGAGTTAGAACCCCGGCCCTTCTGATATTCCAACCAGAGACAACTGAATTGCATCAAGAGGAGACCCAAGGTGAGCTCGATGCAGGCAGAACCTACAAAATACCTCGTCTGTGTTCTTCAGAAGTATCTAGGCCGTGGGCAAGTCACAGGGAGATTCGGAAACTTCCAGAAGGAAAGACATGAGAGAGATGGGGAACTAAACTGGGTGTGTAATCTGAACTGGATCTGAGCTGGCTGCGAGGTCCTTTCTAAGATGACTGCTTGTGGGGGCAGGGGAATGAATCTGGGCCTTGCACACACTGCCCACGCACCTGATCACTGAGCTCTGTCTCCAGCTGGACAAGCTTGCACAGTGACTGGGGATCTCACAGCAGCAGCACAAAATGTCAACTTGCTGATTTCCTCTGCTTCTGACAACTGCTGAGGTGATGTCAGGCTGTGCCTGCTGATGGAAATTACGCAGGACAGTGTTTGGGGGCGACAGGTACCCCGTCAACACTGCCCTTTGAAACGCTTCAGGAAAAGAAGCTTTCATTGGGGCTTCAAATTTCTCTGTGGTAAAAGAGGAAAAGTGATCTCAGCGGCTTCAGAAACTGCGATGCTACAGGAAAGGATACTCGGTGGTGCTCCGAGGATGCCTGCCGGGTTGTACGGGTGCCGCGTGCACCGGCCACTCCTGAAGACCTAGCAGCCTCATGCTCGGGCTTCCTCTTTAAACTCTGAGGCTTCCTGGTAAGTTTGATACAGAGTGGGTAAACCTTGACATGTGATATAGCCAGTGTTTCTATAATTCCATCGGAGTCTGAATTACAACTAATTTTTAACTTTCTGTTAATCCTGATGATTCAAGACTCAGTGACAACAGAATATTTCAAATTTAAAGTAGATCATGAAATACTTTAGCACAAGTACAGACTAAATATATGCAAGGATGATTCTTTCCTAAACTAATAGTTTTACGACACACTAGTTTACAGGAGAGGTAACACTTGTGTGAAATGGTTTCCCTCTGTACCATTAATCAAACTGATATAAAATATGAGCAATACCTGATCCATCAGCCAACCATGCTAAGCTTCTAGCACCAGCTGTCTTATCCTTTAAACTTCCTTGAAAGTATTATCAACTAATAAGTAGTACTTACAAATAATAATACTCAGAAAAGCCAGATAGAGCAGCATTTCTATAGACCTGCCCTTCATGGGAGAGAACAGGGAGGCCACAGGAGCAAGTGCGGTCAAAGGGAATGGAGAAAAGGTGGCTAATCCTTCAGGTCTCTTGGTTCTAATTTTCTCCCTCGGTCTTATTTACCTTTCCATTCCTGGGACAAAATACCCAACGCCAGAGGAGAGGTTTATTTTGGTCACAGTGTGTAGAGGTTTCAGGCTATAGTGAGCTGGCTCCAAGGCAAGGAGGCATGGCTAGGAGGAGAGGAGGAGAAACAGTCCATGGCAGAGCAGGCAGGAGGCAGCAAAATACCATCAGCCCTGGGGACACACACCTGCCACATGGTTCTTTCCCGCTTTACTGCACTCAGACTACAAGCCTATTGGTTGATGCCACCTACATCAAGGGTGGGACTTGTCTTCATAAATCCACTCAGCTACACACTGAAGCTTACTAGCCCAACCAGTGGACTGATCCAGTTATCACACAGCCATAATCCATATTCACACACTCTCCATCCAGCTGCCACCAAAAGCTACCCGCCCCCCCCCCACCATGAGAGCATAAGGCTCTGGGGGGACATTTAGACACAGACACAACACCCTCCTCCCTATTCCTCTATCCTCTGGAGTGAGTTGACCAAGAACGTGTCTGGCAGGGTGATGGTTTGGGGAATCCAGTGATGAACAAGTTATGTTCCAGATCTTTTAAGGGACATTGTTTTAGAGGGGCAAGATGGCTGAGTCAGAAATTACTCTATTAGCTTCTACAAAATCAGTCAAATATAAAGTGCTATGGAAAGAGAAAAGTCACTGTCTCACAGGAACAAGTAAAGTCTTCACAGAAAAGGTGACGTATGTGTGCACACATGTGCTTGCTGGAATGGACCCAGGGCCTTAGGGTTAGAGTTAGCTCTCCACTGAGCTGCACCCCAGTCCAAAGGTGGGGGTAAAGGCCATGGTGGGTGCAGTTTGCCAGGAAATGGGGAGCAGAGGGAATGACAGGCTGAAGGAAGGAGATGCTGGAGCTGAACCGGCTGAAGCTGATGCTGCAGCTTCTTTTAGGCTGAGGGTCCCTGAGAGTCCGTGTGGTCCAAAGGTAGGGGAGGACTGAGGACAGGAAGCCCGAAGGGCCTGACATGGCAGATTGCTGAGCAAAAGGACAGATGGAAGGCCCACAGCAGATAGCCTTGGCTCTGAAGCTGCTCAGGGTGCTGGCTGATGGTCAGCTCTTTGGTTCTCCCAATCCACATGGTAGAAATCACCACAAACCACAGGAGAACAGACACATCGGAACCACCTGAAAACGGGCCATCTTGTCTCTTGGCCTTTTCCATTTCCTGTTTCAGGCAGCCAAATCCTTCTGTCCTGGATCAGCAAGACAGATATAGTCGCGCCTTTCTTGCCTGGCACATGGGTGACTATGAGGACACTCACCAGAGGAACTCCAAACGGGCAACTCTCGTGAAGCAGAGCAAATCATCACCAGGAAAGTCCCATCCACCCAGGCTGCCAATGTTACCAACAAAGCAAGGGGTAAGAGCTGTGCGGCTCGGCACCATCACAAAGTCAGGGTCAGTGAGCTCACAAGCATCAGCCAGAGAATCTTGATTAACAGTAACACTTACAATTTCATGGCCCTTCTTAACCTGTGGACCCAAATGCAATCCAGACTGGGTTTCTATGGTAATGTCCATTCAGTGGGCAGGTGAGGATTTATCCTCATCTTATAGCAAATGAAACCAGGAAGCTGTGTAGTCCAGCCCTTAGAATTCATGTTTAGTCATCACACAGTTTTTCGAGGGAACAGTTGGCCGAATTTCTAAAAGCTGAGAAAACAGCCTGTAAAAGAAGTCTGTAACTGGGGCTGGGGATTTAGCTCAGCGGCAAAAGCACCTGCCTTGCAAGCAGGCAGTTGTGAGTTCGATCCCTGGTACCGGTAAAAAGGAAAAAGACCAAAAAAAAAAAAAGAAGTCTGTAACTCCTCGTAATACCCCCACACACTAATCAGCACTGTAAGAATACACCAGTTCAGATTCTAGGTTTTGTGTTTACAATCCATGAAATAAATATCAGGCAAGTTGCATAATTTCCTTTAAATGGTTTTCTTCTGTAAGATAGGGATAATGGTTACGTCCTGAAATTTTTGCAATTAACATTAGAAACAAAGAATCTGTTAAGTATATATTCAACAACAATCTCCTAAGATCGTGTACAAACCACTCCCCAGTGACACTTCATGGTCTTGTCCCAAGACCACGGGTAGCAACATAATGCACCCCTTTTCATAGCAAATATTTTGCAGAGCCCCCTTTATTATAAAGTCATAAGCAGTAAACCTTACATACAGAACTTATCATGAAGCAATCCAGTCCCCAGATGCACCACTTAAGGGACCATGTAGTATTACGTATTTCAGGGTATAAATTTTGAGCACCAAATTAAAAACACAGGGACGTGGGTGCTGCTTACAGCTAGGCACAGAGCGGCCACAGACCCACACGCAGGCAGATGGTGTGCTGTTTGTGGAATCAAGTTCATAGGTACTGCAGCAGCGGGGAACCCAGCTTCCCAAAAAGCACCTCAACTCTTGGTAAGGACCAAGTAACCGGGTCCTGTTACAATCCTTACAAAGCAGAATCTCCCCTTAGTGTTTACCGGAAGAGCTGGAGTCCTGAAAAATCACATACTTAGAAGCATGTAACTCATCGTGCTTTTGTGTAGAGAGCCCTATTCTCAGCTTAATTAAAAATTGTTTTGTCACCCACATGTCCAGTAGGGCATTTCAAGGTGGACACTTCACCGCAGGCCACTCCCCTTGTCAGCCCGCCCCGCCCCTGCATGCCCTGCCACCAGCCCTCAGCTGCAAACAGCAACCAAAGATGTTCCCACGTCTCCACACCAGCTCGCTGAAGGTCCCCAATCTACATGATCACCTTGTCTCTGCAGGAACCACTGTCAAGGAGAGTCCGTAGTTGATTAAACCAAACAAATATCACATGCAGCACCAGAAAAGTTCCAAAGGTTTATTGCACCAAATGCCACAGAAAAGGGATCAAAACAACATAAGCAAGTTTTAAGAAAAATTTCCCACACATTGACATTGGTATCTATTCAACTGATCAAAAATGAAGTCCCTATCAATTTCTCTTAATGAAGCTTTAATGGTAACATACCCCAGAATTCTCTAGTTTTACCCACCACTTAAAATTTAAGCATAGTGTAACAGGTGGTTCACCAAAATTTGACATTTAAAAATTAACATTTAGAGTGGGCTGTTTGACTTAGGCAAAATTACATTAACATATCTCCCCTCCCCAAGCACAGTAAACAAAACAAAACAAACCATTTGTATTAACTGAGAGACGCTCAGGACTTGTCCAATTTAATGGCTACAGAGTGCGTGACCAATAAGCCCCCACACTAATCACTAGTGGGAACCGGACACTTAAAAGAGTTTGGGTCTCACTTTACATTCTTTATGTACAACAACCTTAGTGAAAAATCTAGAAAGCTACAGACTATGATTTTATAAAATCTGAGGATCTAATTATAAGAGCCCAAATAAGTTTCATATCATTTAGCAAGTGGGGAATTTCCTCCCTCCAAAAAGTTAATTCTGAAAAATATGGTTAGTTTAAAAAGTTGCAATGTGTAAACAGCAGTTCCATGGGATGTGAAAAGATTATAGTTACTTTCATTAAAAAACAGCACATTTCAGAAAAATGGATTAAAGCCTGTACAAAAAGCTATTTAACACTGATAAAAATAAAATACTTTGGAATTATGCACAAGTATGGAAGCTACATTTTAAATTTTCATTGTCATGTTTGAAACGCACACAGTAACTTTTACATTCATCTCACGTATCAATTTGTTAAAAATAAAACTGCGACATGCTAGAAAGAGGTCAGCACAGGAATGTCCACCATGCACTTCTGCTCTGTCATGCCTCTCTAGCTTGCTTAAAAAAGCAAGCGGCAACAGACTTACACTCAACAGGTACGACGCACAGGCTGAAGAAACCCTAAAGGTCGAACCCTGTCACCTGAGGTAGATTTTCATTTTTTTGATTTTGATTTTTCTTGCAGGGGGCATGGGAGAGGGCGAGGTCCCTTTCTGGCCTTGTGGCCAGGGCAGCCGCAGCCTCAGGTGTGCAGAGGGGTGCTTGGCTGCCCCTGGACACAGTTGCATGAGGGGTTTTCTCTCTCACTTCCAGGGGAAAGAGACTGAATTTAAAACAAAGAAAACATGAATGGTAGCTGTTCAGAGGCGGGTCACTGGGCACAACCTTCTCAGCTGTTTTTAGGGGCAACAGATATGATGGTGGCTGGACTGGAATCCGACCTACCTGCAACCCCACCCCCGCAGGTCCCAGCAGGCCTCTCTCTGGGGAGGAGGGACTTGGGGGTACAGGATGGGGAGGCAAAGGTCCTGGGGTAGGTGGGGAGGGGCTCAGTCTTCCTTGCTCCCTAGTGTACAGCAGGGCACAGTGGTGAGTGAGGCAGGTGCCCCCAAGTGGGGCAGGGCAGGGACAGGGAGCTGGTGATGAGGGTCTGCTGTAGGCTGATGTGACAGCGGTGGCAGGGCTGGGACGGTGGGTGGCAGCAGGGCTGGAATGCCAGTTTACAGAAGGAAAAGCAAACTGGGTAAGGGAACCAGGAGGGCATGCTTCTCCTGATGACAGCAAATAGGAAAAAGAAGGGAAACTTTGATTTTGTGAAAAGCATCAAATAAGTTAAAAATCTCAGGACCTTGATGCACCTACTACCTTTCTCAGCATGGGCGGAAGGGCTGCAGCTCCGGCCTGCCCTAGGAGGGGCTACACCCGTCCCTTGTTTAGGTCACCAATGGTCAGGATCACAGTTCTATCATGCGTCAGGCCAGAAGTCTCCCCAGCTCCATGGAGGAGGCATCCTCCTGTCCCCGGGAGGCAGCACGGGGGAGAAGCCAGCCAGGTGAACAGTGCTGGCTCCACCAGATCAGCCACCGCCTTCTAGTCCATGTCTGAGGTCTGGTCTGCTAGACAAGTGGACATGGTCTGTGGTCATGGTCAGCAAGCCAAGTCTCTTCTACAGTAACAGAAAACTGAGGCTTTGTTTTTAAGTGAATTGGACTAGTGATTCTTTACTTTGTAAGCTATGATGGTCAAGGGAACTTCCAGGAAGATGTCTGGAACAGGACATAGGAATTAAAAGGTGCAGAGGTCGCAATGTAAAACTTCAGATTGGACATGGATTGTTCTGACTGCGGTCCTCGAGTCCTGGAACTGCTGCAGACAGCGGGGCCTCTAAAGCTGAAGCAGTCACCTGCGCCCCTGGAGCAGGAGGTGCCAGGCAGGAGGAAGTCACTGCAGACGCTGGAGCGTAAGACGCCTCTCTTGAAAAGGCCATGTACCCTATCTCAGGTACACACAGCTGTATCCACCCCTGTGGGGCGCAGGCTACTACACGGCTCCTCAGGTCTGTTGCACCCACAACCCACCTCTGAACCCCCAGAGCTGCATCTGAATCAAAGCAAACTCTGAGGGCCACCGAGCACCCTCTTTTCCCCCTAGGAAGCTTCCTTTCCCTCTCATCCAGCAGCAGCTAAGGCGGCCAGAGCCAAGCATAGCTGCTGGTGGCTCTGTCTCCCCGCCCTGGAGACCTGGAACCTGAGTCCCATCTGTCTGTCTCTGTGGAGCAGCACTCACGTGCCTGGGCTCGGAGTCACCTGCTGCTGGAATGTCACAGCATCTGCCCCGCCCCTCACCCTCCTGCCTGAGTAGTGGGTCGGCTGATGCCCAAGGCTTCAAGGGTGCTGTGGTGCTGTGTCCCCTCCACCAGCTGGTCCACTTTGCAGACTCCTGGGAAATGAAAGGCAGGGAGAGTTCCTGGAAGTCACAGATGCCATTGGGTGGAGATGGCACAAGTCCTCCCTAAACATCCTCTGGAAAGCACAGCGAGAGACCAAGGGTGGGATGACTTTCTGCGTGCTCTTCTCGAGCTTCTGATGTCCTGGAGAGCTTATGCTTTTGTCTTTCAGGGAGATTTGTTTTTCTTCTTCCAGGGAAGAGCTGTCCTGAGCGTTAGCTTATAAGAGTATCTGAGCCACATGAGGGGAGTGTGTGCTGGCCACAGCAGTCAGCAGAGGCAGATCATTAGACTCAATCCTGATGTCAGAAACAAAAGGACATTACTGTAAAACAGCATGATTAAACAGCAGGAGTAATACTGTCATTAAGTAACATGACAGAACAGTATTATATCTAAGTACCAAGCTTGCTACATGATTGTTTTATACTCATGAAACACTGGGAGGCTGGGTCAAAAAGATTACAAGTTCAAGCCCAGCCTGGGCAATTTAGCAAGTCCTGCTCCCCACATAAAAGTTTTAGGGGATAGTTCAGTGCAAAGGTCCTGGGTTCGATCCCACTTCTAAAGGAAAACAGCCCATGAGAAGACAGTAAAGTATCTACAGTCAGCACCAAGGCTGGGGGCATGCTGCCCATGTTCGGATCAACTTCCGGCCGAGTTGTCTGGGCACCCCTCTCCTCACCCTTTTTGCCAGCAGTCCTGGGGCTGGGCTGACTCTTCACCCACTCCAGGGGATGCTGGTGGCAGCAAGCCGGGGCTCAAACATTCATGCTCCTCATGTGGCAGAGCCATGGCCTCCGAGAGCAGAACAGCAGCACGGAGATCCCTATGCAGGGCAACTCAGGGGAGCACAGGGCACAGGTCTGTCTGCTGCTGCTGGATGCTGGAGGACACCTGCACCACTGTGGTTCAGTCTGTGCACTTTGAGTCCCAAAAATTCACACGTAGAGTGGGAGCTGGCGTTGCCTGGGGAGCTTTCTGCTCCTCTCCAGTGGTGCCCCAGCAGGTCCAGCTCAGCAGATGCGACAAGCCCCAGCACTGCACTCCAAGCCATCAGCACATGAGAGGCTGGGCTGGTCCCTTCCTCCTTCCCTCCCTCTCGCTGGACCTGGGCTGCGGGGACCACAGCCAGCAATGAGAAGCCTCTAGGGGTAGGGTTATGGGGCAGGTAAAGAAAGACAAAAACCAAAAGGGGAAAATAACTAAGGCATCAAAAAAGGAAAAATATTTTCTAAAATGAAGTACACAAGAAAAATACGTATGCTAGGAAATACTAAGAGCCAAACAAGTCAGCAGTATCCTGGGTGGGAAAGATGCCATGCCTGGGATACAAAGGGCCGGCACACGAACACCAGCGCAGGCTTGGCAGGGAGCAGAAGGCAGCCCCTGCAGATGAGCAGCCCTCCCTTCACAGCCTGAGCTAGGGGCTCGACTGCAGGTGTCAGCCGGAGGTCCCAGAGACCACGTCTCTCCTGCTTCTCCGTTGCATCAGTGACTCGGCCATACAACACGGGCTTTCCCCTGCACAGCTCAAGGCAGCACCCTTCTCAAGGCAGACTTGGGGGAGCAGGAGCCTTGTCTTAGGGACTGCACAGTGCCCAGTTGCAGGGAGCAGGACAGCGGGACAGGAGCTGTGACTCCTCCTATGGGAAGTGGAGTAAACAGGAACTTGTGACTCTGGCATCGCCTCAGTGGCTAGGAATGGATGGACAGAGGACGGGGTCAGGGTTCCTTCTCAAGGGTGACATGCCCCAGAGAAGTGCCGGCCTGCAGCTCTGCCCCACATCCAGGTGCGAGACATAAGGCACAGGCTGGCTGGTGCCCTTAGCCATGAGGTATGCAGGGCTGTGAGCAGGCTGAGGGTGTGGAACCAGAGCTGGCAAGCGGCGCAGCACTCACCCCAGCACAAGCCCCAGCTCCTTCACATGCACGCGGGTGTGTCCCCGGAGGTACTCGGACAGCATCTTGCTCTTCAGGTACAGCTCCTGCAGTCTGTCCTCCAGATGCATGATGCACTGCAAAGCCAGCACAGCCACTGTGAGTGCCGGGACTCAGGTGCCCACCACATTGCTAGTGCAGAGCTGTGACCGAGCTCCTTCCAAATGGTTTGAAAAGGTGTTTCTACACAGCTGAAATCGTTTTTAAAGAGGAAACCTCCCTGCTTTTAAAACTTTCCTAGTAATATTTTCCCTGTCAATACGTCTTTATTGATGTCATTTCTATGGCTAAACAAATCTTGCTCACTGGCTCAAAATCATCCCTGCATCATGTAAGTGGCTGAAACACCACTGCCTCATGAGTGAGTGTGGACAAGGCATGGGGGGCCTTCCCAAGTAAACAGAACTGCGAGGAGCTGGCCCACTAAGTTTCAGGTCCTTATAGAGCAAAGTGCAGTTTTTAATAAGTGTGTTATGAAATATTAAAAAGAACATTCATATTATATTGGATTTTTGCATCTTAAAAATGTTTTTTAGTGTTTTTAGTCTGCTCAAAATGTGGAAATAAAGAAAACTCTGGCCTAGGAATGGGTACCCAGTGGGACATCAAAGCACGCAGAAAACCAGAGGCTCTCGATCACCAAACTGAACTCTGCTGAGTTTTCCCCCACTCCTCTTTCTGGACCTTATTCCTTAGATGGATCTGTTCAGTTTTAACTTCTAGATCTTTAGTAGCTATTTTTGCCTTCTGTACTCAAGGTGCTGCTCACATGAGCTTCATCAAGTGACTCTCAAGGAGGTTTTAAAATGCCCATGACTTTTCCTGGCCTTGGTTCTCTCATGTTAAATAAATCATTCATACCATTAAGTAGCTGCACACACTTCACTCAAACTAAGTGAAAATAAATAGCTCCAATAGTTGATGCCTTTGATTACAAGAAGTAAGAGTCAAATGTAGAAAGAGCTATGCATTACAGAATGAAATATAAAAGTGTGGTAAATACTTCTAGGGATCAAAACAAGGAAGCCTAACCCATCTCCTTCCTTTACAGAAAAGGAGATTCCAGCCTCTAAGTCCGCAAAACCCAGCCTGCTTCTAGCAGAGAATCTGCAACCAATCTGAAACAGAAAATAAGGTGCACTCCCCACAAGTGCCTCCCACAGCCACCTGGAGCAGACTTGCTGCAGGGCAACTCAGTGGGAAGCACAAATAAAGACGTTAAAGCCAGTGTCACTGTTTGCCTGGTGAAGTTACCTGCATTGCTGTTTGCTAAGGGCTTACAATGTCTATCACCCTCCACCAAAACGCTCTGTGTGAAAGGCAGGTCACACAGATTCTGTTCTATCTCCATATCTGCAGAGGTTAGACAAGTTCTCAAGGACAGCCCTTGAATGTGCCTGGAAAGCACGCGTATCAGCCACTGGCTTTTCAAGTATCCCGTGTCACCTGTAATCCCAACACTGGGGGCTGAGGCAGGAGGGTCCTGTGAGTTTGAGGCCAGCCCGGGCTACACAGTGAGACCTTGTCTCAAAAAAATAAAAAATATCCCACATAGCACTTTGATCATTGAAAATTACCCTTAATTTTTGGGGAGTTCTCACCTTACACTGTATTATCTTCATTTTACAAACAAGAAAGCTGAGGCTCAGCTTCAGATACTCAGGATTCACCACTGTCACACACTACCAGCAAAGCAACCTGAACCTCATCACGTGCAGGGCCTTTTTGCCACCGCTGTGCAGAGAGCCACCGTGTCCCAGGAAGGTGGTTCCCATGGCAGGTCTGGATATAAGACACTGGGAAACCAACTACTCAGTTGCTAGTGAATGTACTTCACTCATCTTCACTTCCTGCTTCGCAGCAAAGCAGCTCCAAGTCACTCCCGAGTGCAGGGGATCAGAGGTTACAGTCAGGTCTAAAGAGCCTCATCCCTGGGCAGAGAACAGGTGGGCAGCCCCACCCACTCCAGGTCCCCAGCCCTGTGCTCTGCAGATTCCTCCCTGCTCTGGGACTGTACTCCCTTTCTTCCAGAGCAGATCTCCCTGAGTCTCTCTGTATGTCATGTGTGTCAGCATGCACACACATGCACACACACGTGCACACACAGGAATCCATGTCCATACCAATTATCATGCCAGGGAAAAGCTGCTAATCTGCTGGGAATTCCTAGGCCCTGCCTGCTGACTGCAAGTTAAGGAAGTGAGCTTAAAAATCCCATTTGAAAAGGAACTGATAGTCTCACCTGTACGGAGCACTTCAAAACCAGAAGTGCTCCCCCAAACTGCTTTCTGTAAGGACAGGGGTGAAAAGGAAACTTTGGAAACCGGCCTGCTTAATACTGTTCTGATGCATCCTCTATGGGATGGTTTTAAGTTTGCATTCAGGCTTAAACCCTCCCCGTACCTCTTTTGCTTTATCAGGCGCCCTGGGCAGACTCCAGTGTGCGCTACACTACTTGTCTCAGAGATGGCTACTATGAATGAATTTCCTGCTTGCTGATCCTATGTTGTGTGTTTCCATTCTCCATACTAACTTCAGTCCTATTAGAAAACACCCCTGAATTCATGTATTTTTATCAACCTGTTGTTAAAAGTATTTGATATTTCTTTATTTGGGAACAAATACTTACAAAATCAGCAGGCAGGTGAAGCTTATACAGCTGTAAAATGGACTGAAGTAGACTGGACACCTGGCTGGAGACCAGGACATCCTGGCCCAGCCTCACACCATCCGTCACTTTCCGCTGACTTGTGGCCACCTGGACGCTCCACTTGTCCGTGTCTGCCACAATACAGACAGCTTCAGCTATTGGCTCATCAAGCACCGGATGCTGAAAGAACACAGGTGGTGAACTCTCTACAGGCTGCCAGATGACCTGGACATGCCCAGAAAGTGTGCAATTAAAGGTTGCAGAGCTTGCGGTGGCTACAGAAATTGAGGGCTCTGCAAGGACTGAAGCAACAGTGTGACTGCTACAGCCAGGAGGAACACTTGTAGCTGTTGTCAAGTGACCAAGACAGGCACAAGGTAGATTCCCTCCCTCGATTGCAGGATATCAAAATTTCCTTCTTCTTGAATGGCTGTATTCTCCTTTCAATGGGAAAGATCAGAATAAGGTACAGGGTTGCATTACCTTTTTCCCAACAGCAAGGTTAGCCAGCGTAATTTAATATTCTCTTAGATGTACAGCTTTACTTGGTAAGCAAAGTTTATTAACTAAGTGTGCCTCAGAATCGAACATCCCTGAAAACCAAATGAAATCAGACTGAGGGCTGAATGTTTCCAGATGAAACAAAAGTCAAATGACCACGAATAAACATTAAAATGTAAAGCTCCCAATAATAAACCTGCTTTTGGGTGAATGGAGGGAACAAACACAAAGGGCTCTAGTCAGAAGGCCTCCAAGAGACCTTACTGTAACCGCGCCCCAGACACTCGTAAGGCAGGGTTACCACAGGATGCCCTGCTAGGCCCCTGCGACAGAAGAAAGCAGGGATAAGACAGAAGCAGCAGCGATCACTCCCATGGACAGGCCTCCTCGCATTGTGCTTCTGCTTACTGTTCTAAGCCTTACTGTCCAAAGGAAAACCAGTGCTGGCCTCCTCCATCATTTGATTCCTTCCAGCACCCTGTGCCGGCCATGAGTGGCCTCTGGGTGCTGTGTGAACTCCGCCCCCCCCCCCCCCGCCCAATCAGGGCACTGATTTCCTTCTGGTGTGGCCAGCGGCTAGAGAAGGCGCCAGGGGGTCCAGCTTCCTGGGCTGGTCCAGAGATGCCCATTTGCTGTCTAGTCCAAGTCCTCTGCTCTGCTCTCATTCATTTCACGAAGTCCTGATACCCTTCCAATAAAGAAAGTTCCTTCAGCTAACATTAGGAAGAGCTGGTTTCTGCCCATTACAACAAAGAACGCAAGCGGATGAACAATTTATGATTCCTGACAGTATCTCTCACAAGCAGTTGGAAGATGCAAACTGGAAGCAAAGATGCACTGGGACCAACACTTATTCCTGTGCTATTTTCAAGGGGAAACGTTTAGGGTTCATAATTTCCCATCGAAAGGAATAGCAATCAGGCAAAATCTGTCTAATGCTCCAACATTTGTTTAAGCATACATTCACATATTCTTAAACATAAAAATGAAAGAATGTCAAAAAACATTTTTGAATTAATGAGGCTCCATTTCCCAAGATGGTTCACAATGTAGATTGGTTAACAGAAGAGTGCAAGGTTTTCTGAACATGACCTGCTTATCCTCGCACAGGACACACAGCTATGCACACACACACACACACACACACACACACACACACACACACACACAGGGCCTCCGGACTTCCTTTTCCAAGTCTCCACAGCTTTTGGCTTATCTAGGGTGTCACAGATTCACAAAAAGATAACAATGACCATCAATTGCTACCATTGCTATCAATGTGCATGAATAAAGAAATCGGCAATCTGGAGATTTAAACTATTTTGTTTTGAACTCAAGCTCCTTGACTGTTTTGCTTCTGTCCAACATCCAGTGTGCGGAGAGGCCGAGGCACACTGATACCTTGGATCTTCTCTTCACTGCTGGCCACCAGACATGCACAAGAAGCCTCATGTGTGCCCTCATCCGCCAGAGCAGCATCCAGCCTGCCTGCTTCTCTCTCTTTCCTGTTCCCCCTTTATTGACAGTAACTGGGGACCAGGTCCCCCTGAGTTCGGTCTTCTTCATTACCTCTCTGCTGCAATGGCAGCGAGAGCCTCAGGCCACCACTACATGAAGGGCTTTACTGCAAGCAGCAAAGTGGGGGAGAAGGTGCCAGGCTGGCCAGGTAGGTGACAGACAGAGGGCTCCCCACCCATAGCCTGGCAGGGAAGCTGCAGTTCTAGATAAGGTAATGAGAAGGGCGGGGAAGTCAGTTCAATCATTTATAAAGTAACTAGCCAAGAAAACTTGGGGAAATAAAAACCTAACCCAGAAATCAGGCAGGAGCCACCCATCTGTGCGTCACTGAGCGCAGAGTGGAGCCTGAGGCGGAGACACGAGGGGGCTGAAAGCTGTGCTGAGCCTGGCACCGGAAGTCCTCAGCATCCTTGGCACTGGCACAGAGCAGCCCTGCAAGCATGCGCACCAGAGGGACACGAGTTAGGATAAGCAGGGGACAGAAGTGAGGTGCCCTGTGTCCCCTGATGGCACTGGAACAGCTTGCTCTTAAATCGGATGCTCCAGGGATCAAAAAGAACCAGCCAAACATTCTCAGAAGGGCTCCTTTAAGAACACGCCAAGAATTGCACGTTCTCCGAGGACGAAATACCCAGTGCGACTCTCAGCATCGCCATGGAGCAGGCTGAGGCTTTTGCCTCATGACACCTACCAGTACCCACTCAAAAGAACGAATGCAGGTAAGAAGAAAGAAGGACGTTTGAGTTGTCAAGAAAATCCAACAATGGCTGAGGAGAGAGGAAGATACCACCAGCAGGCTCTCCAGACACCACAGCGGGGCTCCCTCCCAGGGTTGTGGGCTACCTCTGTGCTAAGCCCAAACTCCTGAGGGTCACAGAGCTGAAGCTGAGGCTCTGGGAACCCAGGAGACCTTTTTGAGTCTTTCCAAATTCAGCCCCCCTGGGGAGGCCAGCATCAATATGTCACCATTTTCCATACAAGTTAATGTCTAGGCTAGTACAGTTCAAAGCTGTCTGCAAGCCAGGACACCACGTCTGATTTGTTGCACAACGACTCCACCACAATGACTCCACCACTCCTTAGGAAAAGCTGTCTGTGAGGCATGCAGAAAAGCACAGCACACAGAACAAGAGTGAACCAGATGCATGATTCTTTTTCATTTTTTTGCATACCAGACACACAGAGTTTGTTCTGGGTACTGAGAACTGAGCTCAGTACCTCATGCATGCTAGGCAAATGCTTTATCACTGAGCTACATTCACGGTTCTTTTATTTATTTTTTACTCTGAGACTGAAAGTAAATGAAAGTATTTACTCCAATAAACATTTTGTTTTCCCTTGGGATACTCTGAATTAAAAAGAAAAACACAAGATCCTTTGGCTTTATTCAATGTCAAATTGTTATTCCAGTCAGTTTCATATTTTATTAAACTGTACCAGAATAAGAGGATGCAACCTGACAAAACGCTTTCCTGCAACAACGCCACTATTTGCTAGAGCACCATGACTTACTAACAGTGGCCTTTTGGAGCCCCGAGAGAGGTCTTCAGTTAGCCATGCAGAGAAAACGCACCAAAAGGGGGCTGGGGGTTTAGCTCAGCGGCATAAGCACCTGCCTTGCAAGCAGGCGGTCGTGAGTTCGATCCCCGGTACCGATAAAAATGAAAAAGACAAAAAAAAAAAAAAAAAAAAAAAAAAAGCACCAATTCCTGCAGCGCAGCTCCCTTCTCAGCACGGGCTCTGCCGCACGGCCGCACAGCCACACAGCCACATGGCTCTGCCACATGGCTATGCAACACAGACCTGCCACACGGACAAGCTGGCCTTGTCCTCTGGCAGCCAGCTGCACCCGGGGCGAGTGAGGCAGCCTTGGGTTCTAGATGCCAACAGGTCACATGAAAAGACCCCAGATGTGTGTGATTGCTCAGTCTTTAAAAATATACACAAATCAACCACCACCACCACCACCACAACAACAAAAAACCCTCATTCCCACCCAGAGAAGACTCATCACCATGCTAGCAGTAAGGATGGAGCCAGGACCCGGTGCGAGCCAGGAGCCAGTGCAAGCCAGGTGAGCGCCCTCCCACTGAATCGCCCCTTGGCTCTTTGTACTTTTAGACGGAGTTGCTAGGTCATCCTCCTGTCCATTTGACAACAGAAGGAGGGATAAACAGGCCCTCCTGCCAGTGGCCAGGCCAGCCCAAGGTCTAGAAGAACCTGCTCCCTTGCCTGCTGCACCATGGGGTGCAGGCAGCATCACCTGGCACGCAGTCCCCATGCAGAGAAACTGGGTACTGAGAACTGAGCTCAGGACCTCATGCATGCTAGGCAAATGCCTAGCATTTCTCGAAGTGTTCTCTGCTTCCTCTTGACTCTCCCCATCCTGTCAGAACTCTAAGTGCTTGAGCAGTGTTGTTTTTAGCTTCTGCTTCTAGTGGTTTTCTGTCCTCTGTATCCAGTCACCAAGTATGGATCTGTTTACATTTACCCTACATGGGAGTCTATGTGGTTTGGTCTGAAAATTTGCTATCATTCTTTGTTGTTGTTTGTCTTCTTGAGACAGGGTCTCGCTATGCAGCTCAGGCTGGCCTTGAGCTCACTTTGTAGCCGAGGCTGGTCTCGAACTTGCAACGATCCTCTTGCCTCAGCCTCCTGAGTACTGGGATTACAGGCCTGCACCACCATACCCAGCCATCATTTTTTCTTTAAATATTATTTTCCCTGTTCTCTCCATCTGAATGTGCTGTATAATTGTTTCATTGCAGCCTCCACATTTCTTACGTGATTTTCCAAATTCTTTTTCCTCAGAGTTGCATTTGGAAAGGTGGTTTTATATCTAATTTCCATTTCATAGATTCTGGTTTTCTTTAGTATTTAACTGCTCAGCCTTTAATCCCTGACATTTTGGTCTTAATGACTCTAGTTTTCAGTATCAGAAATCCTTTTTTGTTCTTACATAAATCTAAATAGCCTCTGTTCCATTACCTGATTCCCCGTCATGGCCCACCCACGACACACTGTACACAGTGTACGGTGTGTTCGGGAGTGCTGATCCCCCACTCTGGTCCCTGGGGCCCCATTGCGCGGCAGGGCTCCCAATGTGGCCAATCACGCGGGAGCTCTCTTCTCGTTTCTTCTCTACACCAGGGGCTCACGGC